GACGGGTCGACCTGTCATGCTATTGTAACAAAATTTTATATTTATAATACGAAATATCATATTTTTAATTCTTTTGTTTGTGAGAATATGATATTGAAAAAAGTATGATTGTCTAATCATTAGGCCTAAAACATTAAATTGAGAAAATTAAATATAATTATTCGTTTCATTACATTAATGCAATGCCTTTGACTGTGAACTAAATTTAGTATGACAGTTTAATTTGAATTTTATTTGTTACTTAAATTTACGTCTTGCTTATTGTCTGTGAATAGTGTGAACAAAGGCATCATAACTTTAATATAAAATTGTATTAATTGATTTAATTAGTAATAAAATATGTTATAAGTAGTTTTATTTACTTTTTTTTGTAAATAATTATTAATTGATCTTAAAAAAACGATATTTAAACAATATATTTTATTATCATTTTTTTTTTAAATTCTAGTCGATTGAATAATAATAATAAAACAGCATTTTCAAATATTTAATATATATATATATATATGTTATAAGTAGTTTTATTTACTTTTTTTTGTAAATAATTATTAATTGATCTTAAAAAAACGATATTTAAACAATATATTTTATTATCATTTTTTTTTTAAATTCTAGTCGATTGAATAATAATAATAAAACAGCATTTTCAAATATTTAATATATATATATATATATATATATATATATATATATTTATATTGATAAACTTAGAATTACGAAATGACATTAATTTTTAAGATGCAAATTAACTTACAAAAGTTGAAAATAACTTGTGTAAAGTTATAAATTTTAGTTTTAATTAATTAGATAATGAATATCATCAATACTATTGATATAACTGAAATTCAATATAAATTATTATTATAATTTTGGGATGAAATAACATTTTGGAAGATTCTACGGTCCCGTTACGGAACCATTCTGTCGGGAGTTTTAACCGTTAAATCAACTATCTACGACGGTTACATGATAATCTAACGGTTATATAAATCCAGACGGAATGATTACCTCAAACATACAACGATCCCTTCGAAAGTTCATTTACCAACAGGGTAGATTTTCGTGTTACCAATACTTTCTGTTACCAACTTTAATTTCAACTTCATATGAATTGTGATTACTTTTTACTTTTTTACGTTAACAAATGCTTATCTTGCTTTCTCACTAAGACCTGTGGTAACTTTAATCAAGCTAGCTTGATAAATTTCACCCTGTTTTACAACATGCTCCATAATAATGTGAGTGCCTTCGCGGTTCTTTATCTTTAATTTTACCATGCATAAGAACAATCAATTAGCATATGTTAAGTAATTTATAGGAAAAAAAAAAATACTATTTTAATTGAAAAAATAAATTGATTAGTTGCAAATTTCAAGTTGGTGGAACAATGTTGTGTGAATTTCACAAAAACAACTAAAATTTTAAGCTGAATTATTATCATTTATTATGGACAAAAGACATGAAATAAGATAAATGATTTTGTAGATCGAATCGAAAGGTTCGATTTAATATATGATACTCTTTCCTATTTTTATTATTTGTCGTTTTGAGAAGCAACATGCTAATTAAGATTTTTTTTTCTTGCCACTATTAACCCTTTTTAATGAATGTTATGAGAAACTATGGAGATGAGATATGAAGAGACACTGTGCATTGATGGAGGGTTAAAAATGGAAAAATATGAACAAAATAGCCAAAACGACATATATTTAATCAATGATACATTAAGCCAAAGTGACAAATAATAAAAATAGGAGAGAGTATTATTTATATGTTGCTAATGAACATGTTGTCTTTGGTAAAAATTAGCTGATAAGCTAGTTATAACTTATCAGTAATTTTTTAATTTATAGTTTATAGCTTATTACTTATATCTGAAAAACTAGCTTATATGATAAAAGTGTTTGATAAAATTAGCTGATAAGGTAGGTGAAATAAAAAATTCAACTAACTTATTTGAAAAGCTACATAAAGAAACATATCAAATAAGCTCGAGTTTTTTTAAAAAGGTTCGCCCTACAAAATGAGGCTTATTTGAATACAGAGAGTTTATAAGCTAACCAAATAAACTATAAGCTAGCTTATTTGTCTACCATACATAGCCTTAAAGACAAAAAAATTAATAATATTGAGAGAAATTGCTAGAAATAATAGCAAAACGAGAAAATATTTTATTTCCATTGTATATAGAAAGTTAACTCTATTATAGAATGAACTGTTGACTCATAGCAAAATCGGTACCGTTATATGAACTCTGTTTGTGACGTATGGTGAAGATGGAGCTGTCGTTTGGAAGAATCCGTGTCCTATTTGCAAATTCTTATTATGGCCAATAATGCTTGCGTTTGAGTAATCATGAAATTCTGTCTTTTTTCGAATTTAATTTATTTTTATGATTAATTTAATTCAATTATTATTATTTTTATTTTGTTGGGTTTGCTTTTTTCAAATTTGGCATATTGTGTAACACAGCTAGGGTTTGTTAACCGCCATGCATACTACCATCTGTTGGGCCCCACGTCCATACAATTTTCCTTTTATTCTTTTTTTTTATTCTTTTTTTTTTAATATTTTTTTGGTTTATTCTCATTGATTTGGAAAATTTTGTTTGTTCATAAATCTTTTATAAATTAGCTTTTTTTTTTATTTTATTTTTGAATTCGAATTTTGGAGTTTTGAATATTTGTATCTTGTTTTCTTTA